ATTATGAAGGTTCAGTTAGAAGATGGTTGACTAGAGTGTATTATGAAGGTTCAGTTAGTAGATGGTTGACCAGAGTGTATTATGAAGGTTCAGTTAGTAGATGGTTGACCAGAGTGTATTATGAAGGTTCAGTTAGTAGATGGTTGACTAGAGTGTATTATGAAGGTTCAGTTAGTATGTGGTTGACCAGAGTGTATTATGAAGATTCAGTTTGTAGATGGTTGACTAGAGTGTATTATGAAGGTTCAGTTAGAAGATGGTTGACTAGAGTGTATTATGAAAACACTCTAGTCAACCATCTACTAACTGAACCATTATGAAGGTTCAGTTAGTAGATGGTTGACAGAGTGTATTATGAAGGTTCAGTTAGAAGATGGTTGACTAGAGTGTATTATGAACCATCTTCTAACTGAACCTTGACTAGAGTGTATTATGAAGGTTCAGTTTGTAGCAGGCTGATTGGAGCTCCATGAGGTTGTATGATGAAGGTTTGAATTTTTTTGTAGAATCATTGTTAATATGTCTCTTGTCTTCTTTAACACCGTTTATCTTTATGGTGTATGGACTTTCTAACAAAGTGTGGTTGTATCGTGTAGTTATTAATACGAAGATAAGACCACACAGTAAAGAGATAAAAGTGGCAAGCAGATAAATATATTCTATCATATCATAGATTATATGGTTGAGTTTCTAAGCTATCTCACCATCGTACATTGTGATAAAAATTTTTTACTTTTGAACAACATGGTTGAGTTGTATGATATTTCACCATAGGATTTGGGTATTTTTAGAACTATTGATGTGTAAACTTGTTTTCCAAATGTTTTTTTTTTCTTCTACGTACATTGAAATACTCGTATTTGTTACCAAGAAAAAAAAAGGTTACTTAAAGATGTTTCGCGTTTAGCAACAAACAAACACTTCATGACATTTTCAGATACACAACGTTTGATTTCCAGCCTGGCTTGTAGATTGTGTGATCCGCCCACCAGGTCTGCCATAGTCTGTGAAATCTGTTTAACCAGACCCCACGCTTTTGTTCAAGATGGAGATGAAAAGGCCAACGCCTCAATTTGGGAAGAAAAAACACCAGAACGGTACAGTTCAGTACCGAAAAACGGATCACGATTTTTTAATGCCACGTCTGTTAAACAACATGTCGCGTGTTTGAAGCCCATTAACAATATCAGTGTCGTTATTTCTTTTCTTTTTTTTCAAACTGACGTAGAGGCTACGTCACACGGTGACGTCATGCCAAATGAAAGAAACTGATAACAGGCTGAACTACCACATAAATAAAGTTTCTTCGTGGTGTAGTTTTCTCTTCATCAAGTTTTTTCATAATTACATGAGACCGAGTCAGCAGTTTTCTGCGCGCGCACAGGGAAACCTTTAACTCCAATTTGTTTTGGTGCAGCATTATCGATCATAACTTCGAATCACGTGATTCGACAAAAATGACGTCATGGTATCAGGACGTTGCTGAGTTCGGAAGTGTGCCGCACAAACAAATAACCCGAAGTTGGCGCATTTCTTCGCGCCACTTCGATGACATCATCCTGTTTGTCAGATATGAGTAGCAAATAAATACAGGAGAGTTTGCACCCCTTAACGTCGTCAAGCCACGTTGGTTTTAGTTGAATGGTCTAGTGTTCCCCCGAGACTCGCTATGCCTAACGTCTTCAACGCTGCCCTGAAGAAGCCCTTGGTGGTGCTGGCTGTTCCTGGAATCTACCTGGTCTATAAAATCAACGAGCTCAAGAAACGTCAGCTAGAAAAAAACAGGAGGAAAGTGACAGAGAGAGAGTTATCTCATCTAAACCATAAAATAGTAAGTAAGCTCTTAACCTTAATTAAACGAAATATTCATAAATGTAAAAGCTTTGTTATAGACTTTCCATCAGTATGCTTATATCGCTATGGTAACCTGTATCAGTAGAATGAACTTGACACCTTGTTTTAACTATCCTTGTTGAAAGATTCTAATTTGATTGTTTGTATTTAGTTATTTCATTAATTATTCTGTTACCATTGGTTGTGATATACGTCAGTTAACGACTGTAATAGTAGCAAATCGAAGGCGTGATTAGATTGCAAATAATCCACAGATAATGTTTAACTAACTTTCTGTAGCTGTTGATGTCGGGAGTAAACTATTGCACCAATCAGCGACTGAGGTTTAAATTATTATAATAATAGACTGTGAATTACCAGACTTCTCTGCCCCTAAGGAAATATTCTACACAACGTTTTTCATATATTTGGTGCGTAGTCTGATTGTTAGTTTGTCCTACCTGTGAATCAGAAGATTCATGGTTCTCAGCTCGTTGTCGTAATAACGCGCGTTCCACATTTTGGGATTGGGGAGTGTGTGTGTGTGTGTGTGTTAGCTATAGAAATAACGACTAAATCCCACTATTCGTTTAGACAATAGCAGCCCAAGCGTTGGTGGTAGGTGCTGTTGACTGTCTTCCTTATCGTCTTATCAGTTAAAAATTAGAGACAGTTTATGTGGAGATGCTCTTTGTGTATATTTGAAAGAAATTCTAAAACATTAAACCTTGGAGTTTACAAGGACCAACATGTTATATATTCCATATATATATATACAGCTTCGTAAAAGTTCATTGTTAGTGGGTTTTTTTTCCTATTTTTTTAAAAAACAACGTTTATCAGCAGGCAATATCGGTTTCTTATTTGACGTATATAGTCCCGAATCTGTAAAATACGGGCACAAGTAAAGATCGAGCGCCTTTTTTTTTTCTTTTCGGTTTCAGCAAGACGAAGTTTGGAATTGGGGTTACGAATAATAGATCAAACGTCCAGATTGAGCGAGGTTTCTTAAGTCGTTTCACAGAGAAATAATCTTCTTACGACAAGCACCTGAAAGCCCTAATTAACCTAAGTTAAGAAACAGATTATATTAACTTATCAGAAGTATTTTTTTTTTACATTTATCTTGAGATATGTTCACCACCATCTCAACTTCGTACTCCGACATATCTTCTCGGATATGCAGTGAGCAATATGGTATCACGTGATTGAAACTTCTGGTGTTAGTCTGGTAGATGTGCGTGTTACGTGTTTCACGAGTTGTACTGATAATATGTTGACCTTTGACCTTTTTTTTTTAAACTGATTTAATTTCTTTTGTAAATTCACTTGTACGACCTGATTTTAATGTTTTAAGGGAAACGCATTTCACCTACATTCATCCATATAATTGAAGAAAAATATCTGGATCGTATTTATTAATACAGGTTGTTCATCGATCAGATAATAAACAAATCCAGTGAATGAATATATATATATATATGTGTGTTTGTGTATGACATATCATCTCTACTTCGCACACGTCACTTCCAGAAGTTTGAGAGGAATGTAACCCTAACTTGTTAGTCCTACAAACAGTGTAATCCTGACTGTTACTCCTACAAACTGTATTAACGTCGTTCATTTGCTGAGGTTTCAACAGCCGAGATAGCAAAATTAAAATCCCTCTTTATGTTTAATTGTCTTAATAGATGAAAATCGAAAAAAAAAACTTTATTTATTATTCGTGTGTCTGTTTTTCTTTTTCTTTTTTTAGGCTCCACTAAGTTCTTGTTTTGTGGTATAGCTGTGGCTGGCGCCTTCTAATATAGAGTCCAATCCTTCCCTTCGTTACGTCTGGAGTTTTCATCGTATTGATGTGTCGCTTCACATTAATCGAAGGCACCCTCTAACGGTGATCTGGTGGCAATAAGCAAGTCTTGTTTGTTTGTTTGAAGTTTTGCACAAAGCTACACAATGGGCTATCTGTGCTATGCCCACCAGGGTATCGAAACCCGGTTTCTAGCGTTGTAAGTCCGCAGACATACCGCTGTTCCAGCTATAAACAAGTCTGATGGCTTTTAAAGTAAAGTCGTTGACTTAAAATTGGACCCCTGTGGATCAGCTGTGTCTCTGAGGTCTTATGATACTAAAAACCAGGTTTTTAAACTCGTGGTGGGCATAGCACATATGGCCCATTAAGTAGTTTAGTTTTGTGTTTAATAACAAACAGACAAAAACGAAAACTATCCATTCTGAATATGCACTGAAATATCGCGTGCCTGTAGCTACTTTCTAATTGTGACCAGTCCAGGAAACAAAATCGTCTCATGTATTACTGGACACTAACATTTAACGAATAATTTCCATACTGCGCCTGCGCAATTCACGATGTATTTGTTTGTTTTTTTTGTTTGTTTTTTAGAGCTTAGCTATGGCTGTTTGGTAACTTCGGTGTTTTGAGAATGTGACTAACTTAAACTGCACTGTCAGTTTTTTCCTAGCACAAAATAAAATATTACACTCGTATGTCATAGAAATCTTTCTCTCTCTCCGTACTGGGCCCGGCATGGCCAGGTGGTTAGGGCGCTCGACTCGCAATTTGCGGGTCGCGGGTTCAAATCCCCGTCACACCAATCATGCTCGCCCTTTCAGCCGTGAGGGCGTTATAATGTGACGGTCAATCCCACTATTCGTTTGTACAAGAGTAGCCCAAGAGTTGGCGGTGGGTGGTGATGACTAGCTGCCTTCTCCTCTAGTCTTACACTGCTAAATTAGGGACTGCTAGCACAGATAGCCCTCGTGTAGCTTTGCGCGAAATTCAAAAACTCCGTACATAACAATCCCCCGGTGGGTCAGTGGTTAGTTTTGGATCTACAATGCTAAAACCTGGGGTTCGACTACCCGCGGTGAGCAGGTAGTCCATTGTGCAGATTTACGCTAAATCAACAAACACGTCTGCACATAATGTGGTGCTCCCCACCCCACACCCCATCAGTGGTACTGCGGCAAGTCTGCGGACTTATAACGCTAGAAACCGGGTTTCGAGACCCATGGTGGACACAGATAGACCATTATGTAGCTTTGTGCTTAACTACAAACAAATAAACATAACGTGAAATGTCTTTCATTTCTGAGTATGTGATTCTCTGTTCTAGTTTTACGTTAAATAGTAAAAAAAAATCTGGATAAAATACGGCTAAAACGTACTTTCATGCTGGCTAAATACGGGCTGAAACGTACGTGTGAAAAAAGCTGTGTTTTAGGGTATTTTAAATTTTACTACAATACCTAAAATATCCTGAGAAATTTATCTTGATCACAGAAATACTCTTTTAAACACCCACTTTAAGTAAAAACTTCAATTCATCATTGCCCTAGAGACTGCTGATAGCTTTCCTGTACAACCGGATAAAGGCATAAAATAAACTATTTTACAGGGGTCGTCCTTGTAACTTGTTATTTCCATTATCAGAGATACGAAGCATGCCGTTTACTTTAAGTGCTGTAAAATATGTGTGAACTTATGAACTGATTACCAACTTCCAAATTACAAAGTTAATACAATTTAAAATTCCTAATTTCCAAAAAAAAAAAAGACTTGGACGTATCATACGCGTTAGTTTAGAATCTGAAATATATTGCCTGTGTTGATCTATTTCTGTTTCATTCAACTGTAAATATATATTTAAGTGACTGAAAAATACTTGCTTTTATTAATCCCTTCTCTTTAAGTATATATATCGTATTTAATCACGTATGAAGTTATTTATAGCTGTACGAATGACGTCTGTTTATTCTCCTGGGTATTTTCAATTCATCCCGCTAAAATGAAAACTGACATAATGTTAGGACGGGAGTGGGAGTCGAGACCGTAGTTTTGTTGTTGTTGTTTTTTTTTTTTTACGTGCGGAGGATGGAAACGTCTTACGCATATTGGTTAATTCAGTTCAAGTCCCCCGCTGTGACAGCGGTAAGTCTTCGGATTTACAACTCTCAAATCAGGGGTTCGATTCCGGGACGTTGAAGCTAGTGAATCACTCGTGATGACGTCACAACATCTATATGAAGTCACATACGTCTCCAAGGAAACAGAGCAACTCGGATTTTTATTGCTACTTCATTCTATTAATCGTCCCACACAACAATTTGTACCTTCACTTATCAGTTTTCAACATTAACAACATTAATGTGGCTTTGCTATAAGAAAAACATACAGCTCAGTTCAGATTTGGCGTTTAAAATTTTATTCCATCTTTCGTGAATTCAGACAGATTGAATGTTTTTCTATTAACAATTTGATCTGTAACGACTAGTTGCATGTTCGTGAATTCAGACAGATTGAATGTGTTTTTATATTAACAGTTTGACCTGTAAGGACTAGTTGCATGTTCGTGAATTCAGACAGATTGAATGTGTTTTTATATTAACAATTTGATCTGTAACGACTAGTTGCATGTTCGTGAATTCAGACAGATTGAATGTGTTTTTATATTAACAATTTGATCTGTAAGGACTAGTTGCATGTTCGTGAATTCAGACAGATTGAATGTGTTTGTCTATTAACAATTTGATCTTTAACGACTTGCTGCACTTTCTAAAGGTCACAACAGTCGTTGGAAGATATATTAAGAGGTCTTACGATTCTGCGTGGCCTATTTATCGACCGGAACTGAGAAACTAGATTGAACTCGGACTAGATTGAATAACTTCTGGTGCAGTGTACAAAGTTTTTGTTTATACGCGAATTGCCATGAGAAAAAGTCACTGGCTGTCCTAAACCGATAGTGTTCTCTCATTCAAGGCACCTAAATCCTTATACTTTTATAAATGTTTCTTTACTAATCTGTTTGTATGCCTATATTTCTGTTTGTTTATATTGTGTTCGGTCTTTCTGCTTCATCTATACCTATCATACAGTTTATCTATTTTCTGAACCGCTTCCCCCTTTTCTGTTGTTCTATACACACCTATTTGTCTGTCTGTACCTTTCTATGCTCTTTGTTTTTTACGAACAAAAACGTGTTATTAATGTACTATAACGCTTCTCTTTTCTAGCCTCAGTGTTTCACATAACTAAGCCTTTTTCCGAGCAATTATTCACGTTTCAGTACTTCACTGATTACATACATACCGACATATTGCATATAAGCAAATAATAGTGTTCTGTACGTACTTTACTATTGCTGAATAGATGGTACATTAACATCCGGGACGTTGAAGCTCGTGAATCACTCGTGATGACGTTACAACATCTATATGAAGTCACATACGTCTCCAAGGAAACAGAGCAACTCGGATTTTTATTGCTACTTCATTCTATTCATCGTCCCACACAACAATCTGTACCTTCACTTATCAGTTTTCAACATTAACAACAAGTCTATAACAAGTAAATACATAATATTGAAAGAGGTTTTTACAACATCAACATCTTGTTATTCTCAACTTCATAACGAGCATAGGAGACAAATAAGCCGATCTCCACACATCAATTAAAGGAATAGATAATTGTGCCACAAAACTACTGGTGAACAGATGGAAATCATCTTTGTTTTAATTATGGTAATGTTTCTCCGGTTATATCAAACTTCTTAATAATTACTATGTTGTTTACGTTGCTGAAAATCAACTCTTGCTTAGTGAAGGAATACGTAATGATTATTAAGTACTTTAAATACCGTGTTTTTTTTTCTTCTTCAGGATAAACTGTTAGTTAAACTTGAGGAACATGAGCCAGAAGTTGCTAGGTCACCTGAAGAGGAGGTAAGGTCTTAAATATCTGTCATTTATAAGAAATAACAAAATGTCGTCTTTATCATTTTGTTTGTTTGTTTTTGAATTTCGCGCAAAGCTACACGAGGGCTATCTGCGCTAGCCGTCCCTAATTTAGCAGTGTAAGACTATAGGGAAGGCAGCTAGTCATCACCGCCCACCGCCAACTCTTGGGCTACTCTTTTACCAACGAATAGTGGGATTGACCGTCACATTATAACGCCCCCACGGCTGAAAGGGCGAGCATGTTTGGTGTGACGGAGATTCGAACTCGCGACCCTCAGATTGCGAGTCGAGCGCCCCCTAACCACCTGGCCATGCCGGGCCTAATTGCAACACAAAGTAGGATATATTTAGTCATTCAACACCCATGAAACATTAAAACAAGTTATTTTTTCTTGTTTATTATTAGATCGTTTTCTGAGCAAAATCTGTAATTTTGAAGAAGTTCGTAAAAAAACAAACAAACAACAACAGCTTTTCCTTCGTAGAAAATGTATATCCATATAGAACATCTCGTTTCTTTAGAGCGATGATCTAAAGGGCTGCTGAGTGTAGAATGTTTTTTCTAACCCTATTACTAACCAGCATAAAATGCCACTTTAACTATAAGTTCAATCAAGATTTTTTTTCCCGTCATCAAATTAAGGTTAATATTTAAAACAAATAAACTGGGCAGACAAAAATAAAATAAAACAACGCCAAAAATATTTTTTGAAGTAACTTGAATTCAAGATCTTATCCATCGGTTCTTCTAAGTATCGAATTACAACAACAACAACAACAAAAAATTGCACCCACCCTGATGGTTCAACAGTAGATCTGGGGCTTATAACGCTTCAAGTCGGGTTTCGATACTCGCGGTACAGAACAGATAACCTATTGTGCAGCTAGATGCTTAATAACAAACGAACAGAATTAACCTTTGCTGTCGACGACAGACGGTCACCTGCTAGATGGCTAAATTTTCACAAATTACAATATATTTTTTTATATTGATGTGCACATGTGTCACTGTCGTTCTTAGTTTATCTAGTTGATAATATGAACTGAAAATGGGAAAATTAATATAATAAATATTGGTTTTTGGTTGGAAGTTCGCGCAAAGCTACACGAAGACTATTTACGCTAGTCGTCCCTAATTTAGAAGTGACAGACTAGAGGGAAGGCAGCTAGTCATCTCTACCCACCGCCAACTCTTGGGCTACTCTTTTACCCAACGAATAATGGGATTGATCGTCACATTGTAACGCCCACACGGCTGAAAGGTCGAGTATGTTTGGTGGGACGGTGATTCCAACCCGCAGATTGCGAGTCGAGCGTCCCAATCACCTGACCATGCCATAATGAATGTCCCAGCGTGGCTTAGTGGTGAATGTACCTGTCTGTGAATTTAAATGCCCATCTTCTCGTCCCACTGCCTGAAAATCGCACTTCACGCTTTGGGTTCGTGGGTTAATGGTAAAATCTTACTACTAGCCAAAGTGTTGGCGGTGGGTACTGTAGACTAGCTACCTTCTCTTTTTGTAGTTTCATGTGAATGTCCGAAATTCCCCTTTTTTGTCTCAATCTTGTACCAATATTTCTCTTCACGAAAGATCTCTATCATTAGAATTTTCATTAAAGGCGTCATTATTCAATAGGTTTTCTGTAAATAAAAGATGCCTGCCCCCCGGGGGCACGGCGGTATGTCTGCGGACCTACAACGCTAGAAACCGGGTTTCGATAACCGTGGTGGACAGAGCACAGATAGCCCATTGTGTAGCTTTGTACTTAATTACAAACAAACAAAAGATGCCTACAGTTTTTTACATTAAAAAAAACCTTGAAAGACTTGGAAAAAATATTCGATATTTGAGATTAAATAACTACTGAGCACTAGTGAAAGAGAACTAGGGTTAACGTGTTGTTGTCTGCTTTAGTGTAAAAACACACATTCGGCTACCTACCTGCGCCCTGTCCGAACCGAACCACGTATTTTAGCTTTGTAAGTCTATAACCAATCGTTAATAGTGTTTATATAGGGTACTTTTATTTAATTTTGACCTTTCACTGCTAATAGGGAGAGCATGTAATTAAATAGACGAGGATATTTGTGTGTGTATTTTTCAAGTCTGTTGTTAACTCCACGTTTAACCGTATTACAGTGTGCCATCTGCATTAATGCCAAAGCTACCATGCAGACGTTTCCATGTGGTCACAGAGTGGTCTGTAGAAAGTGTTTCGTCAAGACCATCCAGATTGCTGTGTCGCAGCGGGTTCTACCTCTTCGTTGTGTGGTGTGTCGCACCAAGATCCTCAGACTTAAGCAAACCAATCACGGATGGAGCACTCCTCTTCCTCAGGCGAAATCTTTCGAGTCTGGCTCGCACCAGGAGATTGCGCTGTTAACACCAACGAATGCTTCTTCTGTTAACTTCGCTTCTGTCAGTGAGATGTTGAAGGAACCAGAAGGTGTCATTTCCTCTTCTATACTGCTTGATAAGTCGCGATCAAATTCGAAACCACCGATTCAGAAATACAAGAAGAACAAAATCTCGGTGGCAACGAACCCTCCATCTACACGTCGCATTCCACCATTAGGCCTTGCACCTCCAGGCAAGCCAGTCACCCGCTCACTTAAACCTGCTGCTACAAAGCAACATCAGCCTTGGACGAGAGACCCGGAACGCCATCTTTCTGCGAATAACGTAGCAATAGACGATGTACCACACTTGCCAGGAAAGGTCGAAATATTGAATGTGTCTATACGTCCACCTCCAAGACACTGCAAGCGTCAAAACCAGGTGTCACTGAGTCGCTCTACTATTCTCTTTCCCATTCCAGAGCACGAAGAACACGAGCTGATGCACGTGAAAGGAAATGTTAATAGTTCTGTTCGAAAGATACCCGCTCAAGACAAACCTGTTAAAACTTACCTGCCACGTAGACATAAAGTTTCAAAGCCGACCTGTCAGGATATCAATTCCGAGGAAGTAACCAAGCAACGAGGTAATAATGATCCACAAGGCAAGGCATGCAAGCATCAGAACAAGAGTCTAAAGTTTTCTAAGCCCGGCATCGGTCAAAACAAAAATCAACAATCGAAGATCATTCCAGAAAAAAATCTGCAGCGACCCAAAATGGACCCTTTCCGATTCCTGTTCAAAGCATTCAGACAGAAACTAAAATAACTATGTTCTTAATAATGCTAAAAGCAACAAGGTGGGTTGAATTGCTGTATAGAATAGCTAAACCATTTCGTCCCTACTACGGACTTAGAAGACAGCGACATCTGCAGGCACTTGTCACAAAAAAAATATATATTACATTTTCATCGAATTTGAGAATTGTGAATATGATTTATGATAATTTATGCTATGATATGTAAAATTTTGTTTATTTTGTTGACAAGAGTGCCTTAATTTCTTAATGTTCCAAAAATTAATTTAGAACCAAGACTTTTTTGTTTTTATTCGTGTTTTTGAAATAGCGAGGTTTATATCTTTTTTTCTTAACATTTTATAGATTTTATATTTATCCTCTCATTTTTCTATTTCTAGTCTTCCATGAGGCTAAACGACAAACCGAGCCTACGTCTTGTATGTAATTTCTGATTACATGTATCAGTTTTCTTCCTAGACTAAGAAGTATTTTATTATAAACATATTACGATTGACACTTATTTTGCATAGGTCTATATGTAACCGAGTAATTTTCTCTTCATATTCTTAAGTACGTGCTTCTGTTTGGAAAAAAAAAAAACAACGTTGGTGAGACTTTTTAAAACGCTGAAGTCTAGAGTAAACATTAAATACTGAAGTCTAGAGTAAACGTTAAATACTGAAGTCTAGAGTAAACATTAAATACTTAAGTCTAGAGTAACATTAAATACTGAAGTCTAGAGTAAACATTAAATATTGAAGTCTAGAGTAAACATTAAATATTGAAGTCTAGAGTAAACATTAAATACTTAAGTCTAAAGTAAACATTAAATACTTAAGTCTAGAGTAACATTAAATACTGAAGTCTAGAGTAAACATTAAATACTGAAGTCTAGAGTAAACATTAAATATTGAAGTCTAGAGTAAACATTAAATATTGAAGTCTAGAGTAAACATTAAATACTAAAGTCTAGAGTAAACATTAAATACTAAAGTCTAGAGTAAACATTAAATACTAAAGTCTAGAGTAAACATTAAATACTGAAGTCTAGAATAAACATTAAATACTGAAGTCTAGAGTAAACATTAAATATTGAAGTCTGGAGTAAACATTAAATATTGAAGTCTGGAGTAAACATTAAATACTATTTTGAAGTCGATTTTACATATTTGTGGGGGGTCTTGTAATATACCTTTTAAAATGTTTACGGTGTGACAAAGTAAAGACAATTTTGAAGGCAGCTGTACGTGTAAGCAGCTGAAGGATACTGTCAGATACTGCCAACAAACAGTAGATGTAGGTCAGCTGAAGGATACTGCCAGATACTACCAACAAACAGTAGATGTAGGTCAGCTGAAGGATACTGCCAGATACTACCAACAAACAGTACATGTAGGTCAGCTGAAGGATACTGTCAGATACGGCCAACAAACAGTAGATGTAGGTCAGCTGAAGGATACTGTCAGATACGGCCAACAAACGGTAGATGTAGGCCAGCGAATGATACTGTCAGATACTGCCAACAGTAGATGTAGGTCAGCTGAAGGACACTGTCAGATACGGCCAACAAAGAGTAGATGTAGGTCAGCGAAAGATACTGTCAGATACTGCCAACAGTAGATGTAGGTCAGCTGAAGGACACTGTCAGATACGGCCAACAAAGAGTAGATGTAGGTCAGCGAAAGATACTGTCAGATACTGCCAACAAACAGTAGATGTAGGTCAGCGAAAGGACACTGTCAGATACTGCCAACAAACAGTAGATGTAGGTCAGCGAAAGATACTG